GCAGTGGAACATTCCGGATTTCGCAGCTTTCCATTGACAGTACGGTCAGAAAAAACACAGCGAACTACTCTCTCAAGATTTATGTGATGTGGATCGTTCGGCTCCGGTTCTCTACATACAAAAGCGCTTGGCTTACGGCTTCTCGATACGATGCCATGACAACGATATTGCTGCTAATTTGCTGTGCTGTGGGTTTTGCCCAAGACCGACATCGTGGTAAGTCCATTTTTACATCAACTCCACCCCGAAGGGCTATTTTGCGTTTTCAGAACGTCGACCGCATCATCCACAGATTGAACCGAGGTACAGTCGACTGACACCGTTTCAAAATGAAGAGGCATTCCCAGAACCAGTCTTTGGCATGGCCCATGGATTTCCATACGAAAACATGCATAAAGAAATGGACAGGGAGTTTGCCGAACCATTTCCATCACTCAAAAGAGGGCGACCCAAAAAAGATGATGACTCCGCACGACAGGAAGAATCTCCAGAAGAGCCACACAAGCTTCCGTTCCCCTTCCCTAAAAATGAGAAAGCTCTTGGTAGCAGAGAGCGCAGCGAAAGGAACACAAAAGCGAATCAATTTTCACACGAAGGACCACCTCGGCCGATCCTTATAAACGGAGAAGATAACCCATTATTCACTTTGCCTCCTTGGATAAATCTGAAAGAGTTCCCAATAAAAGAAGTAACTCCGCCATTTAGTAATCCAGAGGAGAAAGGTGGTCGAAGGCCGCGGCAGCGCTCAGAGAACGGTGAAAAACCAACGAAGCATGCACCGCTTTCGTCGGGAGAAAAGCCTTCTTCTGGAGAGCAATCGCTGTCCCCAAACGACAAGCGCGAGTCCGAAGCTGGAGCTGGTTCCGATTCACCACCTACGGCCAGACCAGACTTGCGGGATTCTGGAGCAACACACCAAAATCACGGAGAGAGTGAAGAAAAGGAAGCTCCTGAACATCCATTGGCTGGGAAAATTGTTGGAGTCGATATGCGGATGGTTGCTGGAATGTATCCCAAGAACGATGGCTCTCATGGGCCGGGTAAATTTTTTCCAATAAAGGATTGGGGACCTGAGCTGGCACGGCCTCCGCCTCCATTGCACAAAAACCGCGGAGTGAGAAGGAAATCCACAAGGAAAGATGGTGCTCCAAATATCAAGGAACAAAGAAAGTCAAGTGGTGAGGATAGCAATTCTAGAGAAGCTGACAGCAAACAACTCGGCGATTTTGACGCCTACTTTGACAAGTCCCGATCAGAGCACCAGACGCCTCCAGAAGAGGGGCCTTCGCCATCAACGCAACAACCAATCGTTTCCACCGCAACGCCAGGTTAGCCTATTAGGTGGCGTCCTTTTGCAATTTTTACAGGGCTAATTACGGGAAAAGGGATGGTTTTAGTTATTGTAAACCAACCAGATTTGTTCATAGCGACAAATGGATCGGCTCCGGGCGCTATCAAGCAATCAATTTTTACCGACTAATTTGAACCTAGTGGGGTAGACCTGGTGGCTCTCACTGGTACGCCAGTGGCGAAAACGCACCCCTCTCCCACCTTTTTTTAGCCGTTGGTTTTCACTCATGAACAGGTAACAGCTCAGAAAGCGGACGTATGAACGAGTTCACGCAACGCGTTTGGTGGCACCATGCCAAACCACGCTCCAATCGAGTTGCTCCAGTTGTGCCGCTGCTGGCAACGCAGCTCGTCCAAATCACCAACTAAACTAGTGGGCGGATCGCTTTTGGGGGCGGAGTGCTTTCGAAGTCCTGCTCAGCAACCAGCGCACCTTTCGTCGTGAAAGCGCTGCACCTCGCTTCGAGGTACAAACCAGCCCTTTTGGCGTTTCTACTGGTGCCGTATGCTGAATGTTTGGGAAGGATGGGGTCCCCGAGGTCGACGGACTACTTCAACTCGGTCGGTACGGTAGGAGAGTGATGACGAAGTGGTGCAGCTAGGTCCAGCAGCTCCGCCAAGAAGGGCTAGTTTGCTTACCTCAGGACTAAGCCTTGGAGAAAAGGCGGACCTGTGTTCTCTCGCACTCGTCCTCCCTCCGAGTCTAGTCCTAGAGTATTCTTTAGGATTGAGGCGGTTTAAGGCACACCCGAATTGAAGTAGTCCGTCGACCGTCCGTCGACCGGGATCCCATCCCTTCACCAACATTCAGTATACAGCCCCAGCAGAAACGCCAAAAGGGCTGGTTTGCTTACTTCCCTTGCTTCCGTGGCAACCAAGTAACTGGTTCGTGTGCTGCATATACATCCTCGATGAGCTTGTCATTTATCGTAATCGCTGCCTTTAAGGACAAGCGCCGGGTAAAAATGGGAGTGTGAGCGCGTTCTGTAATGAATGATGTCTGGAGAATGTAGAAAAAGCAGAAAACATCGCGCTAGTTGGCGCCCCAAGACAAGGCCATCCCTCTCTTTCAAAGAACTCAACGTTATGGAGAGGAGCGCGTTTGGAAACGATTTTCACAATCAACGATTTTTAGGCCGCAACAACTGTTTCGTTATCAGTTAGGTATTTGCCTTAAAGGAGGAATTCACGATTAGAATGAAGGTCGAAGAAAGGGAAACTGACCTAGTTGAGGGACCCACGGACCTCCTGAGGGTGCGAACTGACGCGCAATTCGCATGGAAAAATTTGACCTCGGCGACCTATCATGCCTCAAAGCTGGCGGGTCCGGCGATCTCCGCCCACCGATCATCTGATCACTCGCCGTAGTTCAATACGTGGCGAGTGATTAGATAGCTGAGAGAGCGTAGTGTTGAAGAGGGCACAGCGATGAGAGTCGCATCAATGCTCGAATCAACGGGCAAGGAAGGGGTCCCATTTCTCGGGTTCTGGGCCGTTTCTCATGGTTCTTCCTTCTTTCGTGTACCACTCACCATCCCTAGGTTATTTGAAATGGGTTGCTTTTTCATCATGAATTCGTCCTTTAATGCTGCACTGTTTCGCATTCCACTTGGGGTACGCCGAGCTTTAACAACAACATGGCCAAAATTGGCTGGGTATCTGCTCTAACGCACAGACAAGGCCATCCGCTCACCCCACTTAGCCTGAGGGCCAGCTTCTTTTCATGAGCTCCTCAAGACTACCAGTCATAGACTAGGAACATTCTCACCCACGGCCCGCTCACTAAAAGGGCAGAGAAAAACCGTCATAATCTCCGCGCCTGCCAACAGTTCTCGTCCTTATAGAAGAGAAATTTAGAAGTCGCTGATTACTTCAGCTCTGCCTGAAATAATATAAATAAATAAAAATAAAAAATATGGTTTAGTCAGTCGAACCGGCAGATACAGCCACACCCGGCTTCTTTGGTAACGTTCGGGACTTTGAGCAAGAATCGATTCGGAGCTCTGTTCCAAGCACCTCAGAACCACATGATCAACAAGTTCAGGATCAAGCTTCAACGATTTCCACCCGAAGTTATTACGCCTCATCAGAGAGCCATTTTTGGCGAACAGTGAGTTTTATAGCGTTTGAAGGAATAAGGGTATTTAATTCATTCCGGCTCGGCAAAAAAATTAAACAATATATTTCAAGAGTGACGGCATGCAGGATGAGGGTCAAACATTGAAAACTTGCAGCGCTGCCAATGAATAGATCTCGGACCAAAGCAATAAAGTTTTCCATCCTTCCCTCGTCTTGAGGTGAAACTCGCTATAAGCTGATAACGTTGAAATCAGTATGGCCGTACTTAAATCGGGCTTGCGGGTAAATCAAAACTGTTGAAACCTTCTTACCCGTAGATTTCGAATTTGGACGAGTTAACCATGACCGTTGGTGTTCGCTGCAACAACTTGTCTTCTGTAATCATACCATCAGTAGTTATTTGATAAGTTATCATTGACTATACACCCAACATGCGGAGCCGAAATAGTTTTCCCATTGCAGGTGGTTTTTTCATAGGCTTTGTTGCCCGAAGCTTCCGCAAAGTTGCTGAATCGGACAGCATTTTTCCCCAGGCGATTTCGAACCCGCTACGCCGACGAGTAACGAGATACGAGTTCGAATCGTTGAGAGTTTGCTCATACTCAGCATTCCTGTGATAGCTGAAATTAGGTTTACGGACTACTTATACTTTCTTCTATGGTCCTGCCACAAATGCGAAGAGCACAGGCGATTTGAGGACGGCTCCAAATCTCGAAGGAGAAGGTGTGAGCTCCGGTGGCTAAGCCTTGGAGGGGAGGGGACACTGGGGAGAGCAAATTACAGTGTAGCAAAGTTTGAATGTGTGAGATCACAGTGGTCATGAGCCGCTGTTCAGGCGAGAGAGCGCAGGCAGGAGCAACAACTTGAGGCGGTTAGAAGGACCGAGTTCAAGTAGTCCGCTAACGCTGAAATTAGGAAGGTCAGGCGGTTAAAAGGACCGAGTTCAAATAGTCCGCTAACGCTGAAATTAGGACGGTATCAAGGTGCGATGGTTTAATATGAAAGGCGCTCTCTAGAAGAAGACCGCACAACACGTACATGGTACGGTATGTCTGGATCCTGTTGGATACTTTTTTGCTAACTGTACACACCTTATCTGTAGTCTTAGAAAGTTCAATGAAGCGCTGTCTGGGATTCAGGATGAGATAAGTGCCCTACTCCATCCTGGATCACCATGTTGGGCTGGGGAAAGCGTTGCAACAGATTCCAAATGCTTGATTATTCATCAGAAGAAGGTTGAGTTAGGGCCAAAACTTGAAATTCTCAAGTCAAAAAAAAGACAAAAAATTGAATAAAAAAATCAAATTAAAGAATCAAATTTCAGGCCTGACGAAGGTGCTAAGCACCGAAATATCGCAATCATTTGGGAAAGCTTTGGAGATTGAGTCTGTTAAAGGCAAACCCCGGGATTAGCCCGACTAGTAGGAGGGATACCACGAGGGAAATTGTAAGGTCCGTACCTACCTAGATCACTCCAGCTTCGTCGCAAAAATTGCGCGGTTAGGGCGCTAATCCTTACGGGCCTGCAACCATCGACCCCTTCCAACGCTTCCCACCCACCGCGAGAGGTGGTGAGATCAGCGTGCATTGATGTAGAGATCAGCGTGCTCTCTCAAACGACGTGCTCTCTCGCGTATTTTGTCTTCTTTGACCGCCCTTTCTCGCCATCGTACCACATCCGACCCTATTGAAGGTTAAGGCCTTAATTTCAGCGTTCCCAAAATTTCTCTTGCTTTCCTTTCCACTTTCAGGTCGTTCCGCAGCTAAGCTATCACTACAAAGCGCTGATAGCACCAGTTTAATCCCGGAATTTGCCTTCAAAGCTTTCTGACTTTGGAGCCTCAAACTGTTGTTCAACATTTAGATCAAAAAACCTAAATAGGATAAATCTAAAATCCGTTAAGTATTATAGAATTGAAATATTTCACAGATACCATTGTTCTGATATGCTTAAATATCTTTTCGCAGGGAACACAGAAGTGCGGTCACACATGGCAATCGTCTGTTCAACGCTGGAACGCAAGCAGAGAAGAAAGCGAATGACGATAATGACTGCGATAACTATCCTGTTCCCAAATTGAGGGACCGTTG